CTCCCCCATTCCTGATGAAGGATCTAGGCCCGAAACGTCAGCCTTCCTGCTCCTATGATGCTGTTTGGCCTGCTGTGTTCATCCAGCTCTACACCTTGTTATCTCAGATTTTCCAGCATCTGCAGTTCCTACTACCTCTAGAGTAGTAAGTGTGATGGTTTTATGTAGTGCATTGGTTGTAAAGAAGAAGGGAGCATCAAAAGTCGTGAGTGAGTCTGCAGGTGGCGAACATATGGAGAGTGTGATTCATATGAAAAGTAAGATTCTTAATGAGAGAACTCTGACTAGTTATTGAACTTTCTCCAGCCCTGCAGCCACATTATGGAAACTTACCTCATGTGAAATCCTATCCTTCTGAAGAGGTAGCCTGACAGGTTTTCCGCTTCCCTCTGAAGAAAGTTTTTTTTTTTTCCTTTTTATATCAACTGCCTTGAAAAGATTCTCAAACATGGTATTGAGGAACTCTGAGCCATTTCTGTCTTAATGACTACTCACTACTGTCTGCTACCAGTGTGAACCTTCCTTTTAAGGAGTGCTGTAGTGAAATCTGATGTCAGAAACTACTGACAGATGTGCAACCACTGAATGGCAAGGTTCGTGCTGGCTGTTCTCCCAACTCATAATGAATTGTCAGCACCAATGAGACTAGTGCATATACACTTCATCTCCAATGGCAGTTGTCTTAGGCCATATTCTAACACACAGCAACTTCAAATTTGTTTAAATTTCATTAGTATACTTCCTAATCATGATTTCATCTTCTTCATGGTAAAGGCCATTTACATCATGGAAATGTTTAAAACTCTGTTAACAGCATTGGCCCAAACTTTAAGTGCGTAAAGTGATGTATATAGACTTTTATACCCACAGCACAGCTATTAATGTGACTACTATGGACTTGTTCTTGCTGCTTATTGCACTTTCATCTTTTGCACTCTATCTGTTGGTACAGAGATAAAGCTGTCAGGAATGAGGGAAGGAGTCAAACTCCCATGCTCTGACTTGTCCTTTAATTGCCCAAAAGTAAAAGTTGAGATAATGTCTTGATTCCTTTTGGGGAATGGAGATGGCTTTGTTAACAGAGCTGTACAATTTTTTTTTTTGGCAACATACTTTTATGCATTATTTTCACCTTGACTACAAATATAGGATAGTGAGAGCAGTGTGTCTAATATAGCATGTTATATTTTAGAGCCAAGCTTCTACACACATCAAGCATTCTGAATTGAATCGTACATTCAGTTTGTTTGTAAAACGTCAGCCAATTCCAGAGTTTCTAAAGCCATTTAATGGTCTAGAAACGCAACTGAAATCAATCAAGGGGGATGCCCTTATGCAGAGTGTAAGCTTTCTGTATGATATGAATTTAGGCTCTCTCAAAACCGTTCCCAACTGCCAATGATTGACCCACACAGATTTTGCCATAATTTGCACTAAGTAATCAGTTTCTTTGGCAAAGGGTATTGACAGCTAATGTAGCAAATGGATTATTTACCTATTGTCAATGCAGAGAACTCTTCTGAATTTTGAATCCTTATCCTTTTGGTTCATCTGACAAATAACTATAAATATAAAACAGAGACAACAAGGTGCAGAGCTGGATGAACACAGCAGGCCAAGCAGCATCGTAGGAGCAGAACGGCTGACATTTCGGGCCTAGACCCTTCATCAGAAAAAAAAATGAAGGGTCTAGGACCGAAACGTCAGCCTTTCTGCTCCTACGATGCTGCTTGGCCTGCTGTGTTCATCCAGCTCTGCACCTTGTTGTCTCGGATTCTCCAGCATCTGCAGTTCCGACTATCTTTGATTTAATAAATATAAAACAGTTCATTTTCTCTTAGTAATGTTCATCATAATAAACAAATTTCCTTTTATTGTAGCCAAACAAGGTAAAAATAGAAATAAAAGTGAAGTTCTTTCCCCATTTCTCTATTTCTGTTTGTTATTTCAGGATCTGTGTGCGAACCCCAAGTTTATTATTGAAGAGGCATCACGCACGGATATCTGCCAGGGAGCATTAGGTAAGTGTCATTAAAATTTTGAAAATCTTTCTTTGGGCCACAATATGATGAATGTCCTGAGGAGGACAGAAGCTGGTCATTTGGCCCTGCTGGTTTGTGTTAGAGTTTATATTTGCTGAAGTTCTCTATTGCTTCAACTTGAATTCCCTAAATCTATTCTAATACTTCTTTCTTCCTTGTGTTTATCTAAATTCCCTTAAAGGTTTGCGTGCTGTCTGTCTTAACTAATGCCTGTGATTGCACGTCTTACCATTCTCTGGGTAAAGACATTTCTTATTAATTCCCTGTGGGATTGCTTTGTCTCCTGATAACCATTGCTTGCAGGATGACCATCTTTTTTTCTCAAATCTGGGCATGTGCATTTGTGGAGAGGGCCTGAGGTGGAATTGTGTTCTTTGGTCTGATGTTATCTTTTCCAACATAGAGGTGAATTGGAACTAATAATGTCATCATATATTAAGTGGAAACTCATTCAACTGACTTTGATTTGAGCTTTAAAATTGGAACCTTCTAACCAACCCAGAGACACGGGCTCAGCTTCCAATTACCATCAGAATAGATTCAGCCAAAGGTAAATGGATCAAGTAATGCCCCTTTACTCTTCTGTTTTTCTTTCAGCTAGACTTCTGAGTCCCTTAAAAGCAGCAGCAAATATTTTGGAGATTATACTTACCTTTGTGTGTTAATCATACTTCTGTAGTATTATACGTTTTTATTTTACTTTATCTGTTTTTAAATCTCAGTTTTTAGTTGGTTATTCATAAGGGTACCCTGTAATTTTTAAAATCAGTTTTAACGTCATTGTGATTATCGACAATTCTAATTTGTAATTAGTTTTTCATATTTAACATTTAATGTGATTGATGATTTACAGTGTATGGGTGTGGATGAGTAAATGGTTTGTGGGTGGGGGTGGCAGATGGGTAAGGTTGATCGGATGGTAGGCAGGTGCATAGCAGGTAAGTAAATGTAGGCAGAGGATAGGCCAGGGAGAGTTAAGTCAAGGGGGAAGAGTCGGATCTGAGAGGGTGATGTGGAGGAGGGGTCACTCATCCAGTCGGAAGGCCTGAGGATATATTTGCTATGTTAGGGGCATTGGAGGATGGAGAGAGGATTCGTGGGGAATCTTGAGGTGATTTAGGGTCAGGGCCAGGGTGATGGGGGTGGGGTTTTGGTGGTCAGTTTAATGGTTACCTGGAGTTACAGCAAGTTTTAATTTCTCTAACTTTTCCTGGGTAAATATTAAGCTAAGTAAGCTGGAATTGTGTAATTTTTTGGCACTAACTCGGAGTTGGGGACATTTTTGGATGTATGTCTACCTCCATTTTATCACTGTGAAATAAAGAAATGTAAGACTGTATTTACTCTTTTGTTAGCAGGACAAACATGACGATTTTCCTATTGAAAGAGTATTTTCATGTCATGTTTGGTCTCCTGCCAAAAATAACCTGTTTAAACATAAACAAAATGAAAAGACTCTCAGAAGCTGGATTATTTATGCAGTTGGAAAAGCAGAGAATTGCTGCCCACTTGTGCTGGGATGGTTACTATTGAAGTTCAATACCTGGTCTGTGTGTGTGGCTTTTCGGTGTACCTTCGTTTGCAGTTCCCCATTTGTCTTGCGCTCTACCACGACGTCCAGGAATGGGAGTTGTTCCTCCACTACGGAGGAAACCCGGAAGTTTAAAAACCAGGTGGGAAAACACACCGACGCTTCATCAGAGGCTGCACTGAGGATGTTACCAAGCACGGTAACGAAACGTCTGTGGAACAACAAATCAGCTCGGCGAGGCAACCAACCTCAACACCCACAACCCGAGCTACAGATCTACTCCAAAACCTTAGTGTGTAAATATTTAGATACCGTATGGTCAAAATCAGTGACTGTAACATATAAAGAAGCAAATGGGGGAAACATTAAAAAGAGAAAGAGTAGGCATGTGGTGATTGTGGGACACTACAATTAAAGACAGGGTGAGATCTGTAAAGATAATTCACAGTCCTGGGTGGTATATTGCTTTCCAAGTGCTGGCGGACTAGACATCTCGAAGTCAACAACTGCATGGCTGAAGGAATAGTGCAGGAAGGAGGATTTTGGCTTCCTAGAGCCAAATGTTGATCACTTTGTTGGCCAGGGAAGACTGTGCAGACAGGATGGGAGAGGCACTTGTGTTCCTGTAGATCAGGTAAATACAGAAGTAGCAACAGATTTGAATTAATTGTGTCAAAAATATATTAGCAAGGGTACAGTAGACCATATGAGTAGGTTGAGCCCAGAAGACCAAATAGGGTGTTCCCTTTAAGATTGTACATGGTATAATGAGAAAATGACGCAAGTTAGAAGCATGAATGATTGATGCAGCAGACACTATAGAGACAGCTGGCTTAAAGGTAGATTTCGAGAGATATACTTCATGCCCTCTGAACCTTCAAAAGATCAGGAATTGAATTGTAAAACAAGGGGTGGAACATAATAGACACAATAGGGGCAGTAAAAAGTAAGGATTTTGGTGATCAAGAAACAAAACTAAGGGACAACAAAGATTGCAATACTCTGTAGGGAGTTGTTTACATACCTATCCAACCACTGACAATAATGATGTAATAGGGTGAATAGATAAATATAGACGATAGGGAAGGATATAGCATTGGCAGTGTGGTTGTAACGGGTGTTTTTAATTGATGTAAACTGGGAAAACTACGCGTGTAGTAAAAGTAAGAATTTTCTAAAATGTATTCAGGAGTTTTGTACAACATTGTTATATATAAAGAAACAGATCATTTGGTGTTTTAGAGAGAGAAGGGTACAGACCATACTAGAATTAATGATGAATAACAAACCACAGTTAGTTAATAATCTGTAAGTAAAGGAACATCTTGAGAGTAGTAGCCAAAATGTGTTGAATTTAATATTATGTTGGAGTTAGATGAGGAAAAACCACAAACCAGAGTCCTAACTTTTTAGGTAAGCTTTGAAGAGATTAGGAACAGATTAACCACAGCAAACTGGCTGAAATGTTACTATGTAAACCTACTGGCAACATGTGGGAAATATTCAAGGGAATGAAAGAAGCATAAAGACTCTTTAAATGTCAAGGCATTGAACTCCAGCTTGGGAGGTAATACAAAAAGAGCGAGTGTGAGTTGGGCCTGTTACATTCTCTGGCTACTTATCAACTCTAGTTAGCTGCTTATCCTGTCTAAACTCAAGGAACATTTAATTTTTGTACAGCCATGTGGATAGGATTGGCAGCAGGAGACCAGAACAGTTTTAATGCCTTGGCGTCTGTGTATACCAAATGACCAACTCCACAGGACAAGAACAGAACTTTGAGAAGCAGAAACTGTTATAGAGGTTTATAAAATCATGAAGGGCAAGGAAATGGTGAATAGCCAAGGCCTTTTTCCAAGGGTAGAGGAGTCCAAAACTAGGCGACATAGGTTTAAGTTGATAGGGGAAAGATTTGAAAGGGACCTGAGGGGCAACTTTTTCACACAGAAGATCATGCATGTATAGAATGAGCTGCCAGAGAAGGTGATGGAGGTGGGTATAATTATAACATTTAAAAGACATTTGGACAAGTATATGAATTTAGGTTTGGAGGGATATGGACCAAACCACATGCAAATGGGACTAGTTAAGTTTTGGATACTTGGGCAGCATGGATGTGTTGGACTGAAGGGTCTGTTTCCATGCTGTATAATTCTATGACAATGGAATCTGTTTAGGATGCTAGCAGTAACTCGCATGGATAATTTTACAAAATTCAGTTTCCACGGTATAGATACTTTCCCTTAGGTCATCTGTTCTCTCTTTGAATGCTGCTGGTTCCATTGGTACTTAAGAATTTCTGTTTTTGAAGATTTCTGGAATCTGATGTTTAACTGCTTACATTGATACTGCAGTAAATTGTTTTACAGCAGCCATTTTAAAAATAGTTCTGCTCATAACATTTTTTTTCAGATGCTCACACTAATGATGTTCACATTAGAAATCTTAATGTGTACATTTTGGCTAATGCAACCAAGATGAAAAGCAGTTGTGCTTACCCGATTGTACGTAAAATTAAAAAAAAAGGAAGTGGGTGAATAAACCTGATTTGAAAGAAGGAGAAGGTTGAGTTCTGGTTTACGTTCAAAATGCTAATATACCTTCCTGTTTCATGTATTGATTGATCTGCTGCGCATTACCTGCTTTTTTCCTGTTTGGCATTTGTGGTTTTTCTTCAAAGCTTGGTCTGTTGCACTGCCTCACCCATGCTGCTTGGCCTGCTGTGTTTATCCAGCTCTACACCTTGTTATCTCAGATTTTCCAGCATCTGCAGTTCCTACTATCTCTGATACAAATAAAGATTGAATTAGTTTGACCTAGACAGTCCTGTTGAATATAAATCATGAAATGGGCGAATAATAAACATGTTTGACCAGATGTAATTGAAAGAGGATGTGAATAACCTTTGTTTGCAAAGGCAAATTACTTCATTTGACTTTTCTTTATGTTTAAAAAAACTGAAACTGATCCGAGTCTTGCCCATATTCTTTGGTTCCGTCATTTTGATTCACATTCAATTGATGCTGTGATAACTAGCTTTATATTGAGCTAGAAAGCCAATAAAGCTCATCTCTCTGGCATGCAAGCCCATTCTGAGTGCAGCAGAGGACTATTGTGGGCTATGGACCAAAGAGAAGGGACAATCAGTTTGAAATTTAGTTTACAAAATAGTCTTGAGGTTCATATGAAAATTCAGATGTAAGTTAGATCTGTTCTTTAAAGTCGCAACCACTTTATATTCTAGAATTGCTGAAAGATAAGATGATTCCAGGATGGAAACTCAGTTCCTCTGATGCTGAATTTGTCAGTGATTTATGCATTCACACTTCCTGCAGATTGAGCCTGTCTTTTTGCCCAGAAACTTCTCTACCATTGTTTGGGAGCTTCCATAGGTCAGCCACATACTTTGCCCATTCATGGCATTTAAGAACATAGTCTGGCTACGGTT